TCTGGACCCTCACCCCACCAAAGAAAACTCTATAAGCCCGACCGCACTGCTTTCTTCAGGCCTAATCCTCGAGCTACCCTTGACACTAATTAAACTTTAAATCCTGAAGGCCGTAACCCTAAAGCCCCAAATCCTGAAATCCTCACGGTCGAGGTGCCATACCAGCTCTGGATGGCGGCGTAGATGAACTCCTGGTCGGCGGCATTCCGACATCCCGCGGCCGAGAGCTCAAAGGATGCCAAATCATAGAAGACCTGGCTCAGGAGTAGCGCTCCGTTAAGGGGTTCCTGAGAAGGGCTTCTTAAAGGGTTACTATGCGCGTTCTATGATTTCTGGCATCGAGGTCTAGATTTAGTCTTTTCCCACCCCCTCAACTCCCCTTCCCGCGCTTTTTCGCGAAACCCTGACAGACCCCGCAAAATCGGCCCCAGGTGTTCTCATCGCATTTCCACCCCCCTGAACTCCGGACTCTGATACGATTTTCACATCGGCTTGGGCTTTGGCACAAGGCTTTGCGATGTTTTGTGAAGTGTCACCTTCCTGTTTCCCGTGCGGAGTGATTTAAGACTCGGTTCCACACTCAAAATCGCACAATACGAAAGAGGTAATCCTTACATCCTACTGCGACATCGACCAAAACCGCAAGCAATCGCAAGCTTTCAGAAGGTGCCGGGGGCCTCCACGGCCTCTAAGGCCTCCAAGGCCTCTACATGGCCTCTAAGGCCTCCAAGGCCTCTAAGGCCTCCAAGGCCTCTAAGGCCTCCAAGGCCTAAACCAGCCCTGAAGCCCAAAAGAGATCCCCATTTCGCCCTTTTAGCCGCCCCCACCTGGCGCTTCTGGGACAAGTTCTTCCGGAGCATGTGGAAGACGGCAAAGAAGGGGATCACGGCGAAGGCTAAAGGAATGAAACTCCTCCATCCTCCCGGTACAACCAGGGTAACTGCGCGCCCCGATCCCTGAAGCTGCGGGGCATCCGCGGACTTCAGAGTGCAGGGGCATATCTGGGGAATGTTTAGAACTGAAGCTCGAAGAAGCACACGAGAACTTCGACTGACATTGAGGGCAGGAGAAGAAGGCGCTAGGACGCTGTGAAGGGCTCTGCAGTTGCATAATCTCTGGATCCGAAACCCTAACCTAAAACTCCGAACCCGAACCCCTCTGTTCAGAGCTGGAAGCCTTCAAGATTGCGGTTCCCAAGTTTGAAAACCTGCTTCCCCAGTACCTGAAATGGGGGAGGGGGGGGGGGTTCAACAAGACTCATATTATGCACGATCCAGAGGCTGTCAAGCAAGAGCGCGGGGGCGAAAGGGGCGCAGAGCCCCCCCCTATTTGCAAACACAATGCTCGCATGGTTGGTTTCAAAAACACTCTTTTGCTGTCAAGCAAGCTTGCACAAGCGGGGGGGTGGGGGGGCGCAGCAGCCCCTCCCCCTGTGCAAACACACCGCTCGCGTGGTGAATGGCGGGGTTTGAAAAGGACTCAGATTAGCTTAAGACAGCATTATATCACTACCACCGTCCCCACCGCCGTCATTGACATCTTCATCTTCATGTACATCTTCATCGCCACCATCAGCATGTGTACGTAAGCATGCATGAATGCATGTATGTNNGTGATCTAAACGTCTTCCAACTGATGCCCTAGGCCCCGAGTGTGTCTGCATCCAAACTACTGAGCGGTTGTTTTGGGATTCCTCAGAGTCGCGACGGAGCCCGGGGACCAGAGGACCTCTTGGTGTTGATCTACAGTACCCGAAGGCTCCGCGTATCTGAACAGGGTAAAAGGTTCAGGGTTTCGGGCTTAGTTGGGCCTTAAATTTAAAGGTTCCTAACTCAGTACTTTAAGTTAAGGCCCATGCAAAAGAGGCAAAAAAAGGCATAGGTCCTACCCTGCGTTTAAAGCATGCAGTCTCATCGGACACCCTAAACTCCCTAAACCCTTAACCCTAAACCCTGAAAACCGAAACCCACGGACTTCACGAAACAAGCGCATTGAGTCGCCTGGTGAGGTAGGGCGGGGAGTACAGGATCCTCAGCTCCTGAAACTCGGTTCTTGTGAAGAAGCTTGCTGAGCCACTACAATCTTAGAAAGAATCGATGTACATATAATATAACATGTACAGTACATACAAATAAATAAATATATATATATATATGTACCTATACAGCCGGGATACATGGTAAGTACTATGCTTTCCCACTAGGGTACCAGGCGCGAACACCCGAAAACCTTCTACCTTGCATATATGCATACATGCCTACAAATGCCTACATGCATACATACTACTCCTCCTCCTCCTGCTGCTACTCCTACTCCTACCCCCACCCCTGCCACTCCTCCCACAACTCCTACTACTGTTACTGCTACTAGTACTGTTACTGCTACTACTACTGCTACTGCTACTGCTACTGCTACTGCTACTGCTACTGCTACTGCTACTGCTACTGCACTGCTACTGCTACTGCTACTGCTACTGCTACTGCTACTGCTACTGCTACTG